CACACATATATATATATACACACACACACCTGAAAGGATCGATATAGTTGACTAGAGGGGGGGGGGTGAATAGGCTACTAACAAATTTTAGTTTTTCTTTACCAAATTAAACTTTACATCAAATTAGGTTGTCTAGATATGCAACTAGGTGAGCAATATATATGATGCAACATCAATAAGCACACAAGCAGGAAAATGATATAACACAATATAGCTTGCACAAGTAAAGGTGAGAGATAACCAAAAGTGGAACCGATGGAGACGAGGATGTGTTACCGAAGTTCCTTCCTTTGAAGGAAAGTACGTCTCCGTTGGAGCGGTGTGGAGACACAATGCTCCCCAAGAAGCCACTAGGGCCACCGTATTCTCCTCACGCCCTCACACAATGCGAGATGGCGTGATTCCACTATTGGTGCCCTTGGAGGCGGCGACCGAACCTTTACAAACAAGGTTGGGACAATCTCCACAACTGAATTGGAGGCTCCCAACGACACCACAAAGCTTCACCACAATGGACTATGGCTCCGTGGTGACCTCAACCGTCTAGGGTGCTCAAACACCCAAGAGTAACAAGATCAGCAAGAGATTAGTGGGGGAAATCAAATTTCTCTTGGTGAAAGTGTAGATCGAGGCTCTCTCAACCAATCCCTAGAGAATCAAAAAGTTTGATTGGCTAGGGAGGGGATCGGGCGAAAATGGAGTTTAGAGCATCAATGGAGCTTGGAGGTGGAAGAGGTAGTCAACTCAGAGAAGAAGACTCCCCTTTTATAGTCACGGGACAAATCCAACCGTTATCCACTTAACCAGCCCGCGACATGCGGTACTATCGCACCAGACAAGCGGTACTACCACAAGGAGTTGCGGTACTACCGCAAGGTGGTGCGGTACTACCACACCCATGGCAGACACCAGAAGAGGCCCTTTTGCATTGACGTTGCGAGCGGTAAAACAGCCGGAGTGGTACTACCGTGCGCCCTTGCGGTAGCAGGGTTTGACTGGGTTGGGAAGGCACGAGAGAATAAAATTACATCTATGACTACTTCCGCTGAATTTAGATTGGTGCAAAAGTCTGACGCGGTACTACCGCATCCAGGGAGCGGTACTACTGCACAGGGCGTGGATATAAAAATCCCCTACTTCCGCGTGAGTAGCAGTGCTGGACCAGAGTCCACGGTACTATCGCATCCTAGAAGCGGTACTACCGCAAGGAGGTGCGGTACTACCGCATCCTCGGGCGGTTCTACCGCAAGGAGGTGCGGTACTACTGCATCCTCGGGCGGTACTACCGTGAGCCTCTGTGGTACTACTGCTCCCTTGAGCAGTACTACCGCACGCCATAGCACAATACCACTTGAAGACGTTCATTTAGCAAAGACACGGATAACAAATCAGAGCTCCAAAGAGGCAAGGGAAAGGAGGTGCAAAGGAACAGACGTGTACGTGATGATTCCACCCTAACCTTTCCGAAGTGGACCCCCTCTTAATAATACGGCTTTCCTACAACTCAAATCCACCAAAAGGAAACGTAGAGAAACGTCGTCTTCGAAAGAACTCCAAGGGGCACACAATTGTCTTGTGCCTATACATGAGATACCTGAAATGCTCAATGCACACGATTAGTCCGCAAATGTATTATCATCAATCACCAAAACCACTTAGGGAGAAATATACCCTTACAATCTCCCCCTTTTTGGTGGATTGATGACAATACGGGATTTGCAAAGAGAGATATAAGATGACACATAAGCAAACCCAACATCTATAAACTATAGACGTGCTGCCCTAGTTGTGTGCACTTTAGAGAAGTGCTTTGGACTGCACGACACACATAATAGGATCAACACTCCCCCTAGATTTTATAAACAAGGCAATCCTTGCACATGGAAGATGGCAAGATGAGCTCACAAACTACTAACATACTAGATAATATGATAAGATAATAAGATAAGTAGAGGACATATGTCTTACACCATATGATAGTCTCCAGGAACCAGACGAACACAAACACAAGCCAACAAACCAAAGCAAACGAGGTTCAACCGGACGAACGCAAAGCACTAAACACGACACAATGACTCGCAAATCCTACACTCTCTCCCCCTTTGGCATCGAGACACCAAAAAGGGAGAGAGGACACCTACGACACAGGTGGTAGCTCAAACTGCAGTGATCACTCCTCATGCTCCTCATCCGTCCTGGCAGCGGGAATGGGCTCCTCCTCTGACTCAGTCTACTGATATCCCTGCTTAACTACCCAGTCAGCCTCCGGAGTGATGTTCACCTCTGACCCACTCTCCACAATCTTGCCAAAGGTCCTCAAGATCCTATTATCATGCTGGTGAATCTCCTTGGAAGCAACATGGGTTCTGTACTGCCCCTGGGCTTGCATATAGAACAGGGCCTTCATCTTGGCCTTTAGCTTCTTAGCCCAAGAGGGCTAAGAAGAGGAAGGAGTGTATCCCTCAGAACTGTCCTCATCTGCATCCTCCTCCTCAAGCTCATCCTCATCCACATCCATCCTTGCAGCCTCAGCCTCGGCCCGGGTAGTGGCGTTATCCCACATGCTCTTGATGTGTAGCTTGACAAGCTCATGGAGAATCCAGTTGGGAGCTTCAAACTCTTCATTGGGAAAGAGCCGCTCCCAAGTCTTCGAGATCAACAGAAACAGGTAAGGGCCATAGATGGGTACCTTACGGTTGAATACCGCAAACTGTAACTCACACCACATGATGTGTGGTTGCGTCTGATGGAGACGCACCTCCTCACAAATGGGCATTGTGTCCACGAGGTAAGCATGCACTTTATCCTTGTCACCAATGCGGGGGAAAAGTGTGTTGTCGAAGATCCGATGCATGATGTCAAGGAAAGGATTCAACACCCATGTCTTCTTGTCATTGGCAAGCTTCTTCTCAACAAAGTAGGGTTGGAGCTTGTTCTTGTTGGTTGACTCGGGGTTGGCATGAGGGCGGACGCCAACGGGTGTGTTGAGCCCCTCATCATGAACATGGAGCAACGTCATGAATTCCTTCCACGTAGCAGACAGTTGTTGCCCATTGGTCATCCATGTCATGGTGCGTGCCTCATCCGGATGGAAGTGAACTGACGCAAAGAACTAAGCCACAATTTTAGGGTCAAAATCGAGGTGGAATGTGAGCAAATCCTCAATGCCAAACTGCTCTATCAGATGCAGAGCCTCTCCAAAGTATGCTCTGTTGATGTCCTTCCTCACATGGACCATGTCAATCCAGTGCACATCCACATAGATGTTCTGCTTGGACTTGATCACATCTAGAAAGATAAGATTATGTTGCTTAGACCAAAACAACTCATTGCCTTTGAAATTCTCACGGGGCTTCACATAGGGGTTGAGCTTCC